ATCTTATGAGAATGAATATTAATTACTTGTGTTGAAAAGTTATTGGAAGCTTCGTCTTTGAAGAGACATTTAGCGGAAGGGGTTGATCTTATGATCATCAGAGAAATCGGTGGAGGTTTGATTTTTGACACAACCCGCGCTTTGTTAATTTTCTCAATATAGTTACAATTTATACACACACAAACAAAAGAGAGAGAGAGATAGTATTAATCAACTGAGTTTTACGACTGTGCCCTTAAATTAGGTCTATATCAGGGAGTGCCAAGAGGCTTCGGAATCAACACGCTAGGCGAGGAAACCGGTTTCTGCACCGAGATTTATTCCAAGGGAGAGGCGTGTATTTACTTATCATTAAGACATGAAAATTATAACCCTATAGATTCAAATTAGGTTTCACTTACTAAAACCATAGTTGAATGATTGATAAATGTATTCACATTGTTAATTAATTGTTGGTTTTATTAGGTTGATCGTGTCGCTCGTATTGCATTTGATATGGCGGTACAACGACGAGGCAAAGTTTGTTCAGTCGACAAATCTAGCGTCTTGGAAGTAATTTATAACGTTAAATAATAATTTTACTAATAAGGGGTCTTACTCTTCGTAAAATCTAATACGATTGTGTTTTTTTGTGTGTGGTTGGATTAATAAATGAAAGTCGTCGATGTTGTGGAGGAAAACAGTGATGGCATTATCGACAGAGTATCCAAAAGTGGAACTAATGCATATGCTAGTGGATACATCTGGCATGGAGCTCGTTCGATGCCCCAAACAAGTATGTTATATTCATTGAATTAATTGATTTCGGTTGTAACATAGTAAAAATATACTATGATTTTAGAGAGATTATGGGTCGTAGATCCAGAATTTCCTAATTAATAAATAAAAACCGATATGATTTTATATCTTCTGATGAACTTAAACCCGTTTAAGTTCGATGTACTCTTGACATCGAACGTCTTTGGAGATATCTTGTCGGATGTTGCTTCAGTGATCAACGGCGGCATTGGAATGCTTCCCTCAGCCTGCATTGGAGGACCAGTA